GTGATCTTGCGCGGCTTGAGGACGCGCCGCGTTACGAAGGAAAGGGCCTCTTCGAAATGCAAGACCGTTAATTACCGACGATGTCTTCTTTTTCTTCTTGTATTTTCATTCTAGGGTGGACTATCTGTTTGCGAGGGCCTCGTAGAATAAGTCGCGCTGGCTTTCCAGACGGATGGCCCCTATGAGGATCTCCGTGACCGGTTCGTCCGATACCACCTACGTCAAAAGTTCGGATCTCACGCGACCATGTGGAACCCGTTAAGGGACGATGACCCCGTGTCCCACGAGTCTCTTACCGCCGTACTGGAGAAGAGCCCCCGATATTTAATGATTGTTGAGGACTACGAGGCATTATTGAGGAAAAAGCTCCCAGTACGACGGACCACGAGTCGGCCGGTCGAACCCCTCGCGGGACCACATCCGTCAAGCTTAGAGACCCCGCGAGGCTCCTTTGGGGCTCCCCTAGTTGGCTCCTCGCGAGGTTAGTCCGAAGCAGCTGCGTGATTACCCATCGGTCAAGCGGCAGGCCGGTGGAGGGACTGCGTGAGCTTTTTCGGCTCCCCGGCCCTGGAGGATCGCCAACTGCAGGCGACTCCGCGAATTCCGCTCGCGACCGCGGGAACGGGTCGTGGATATTCGTCGCGACTAGAATCCGATGAGAGGGAGGACAGCGACGCGTCGTCGTGGGCTCCTCCCGCTCCCGCGGTGGATTGACTATCCGCACCCCTCTCGTCGAGGCCGGTACCGACGCCGAGAAGACCAAGCGATCGCGCGATATGAAGCAACGAGACGCGGCGCAAGAGAGAGGAGATGTAACGGAGAAGGAACGCGCGAGCGCGACGCGCCGAGCTACTTCCCCCACTCTCCCGATGGCAGACGTCATCCGTCGACAGCATACACAGCCGTACGACGGAGATTGACGTCAGCGAGCCCGCGTCGTATGCGAGCGTAATCAAGAATGCGTCACCGCGGATGCTTGAAGTCGCGAACGCGAAATCGGAAACCGCGCTCAACCTCCAAAACCCTCGCGAGGCACCGACATGTAGTATTTAGTTGCGTTCAAATCCGCTTACGCGGAAGTCGCGTATCTTCATATTTTGAGTAGAATACCGGCTATACTAATGTGCTTGATGCTCGGGCCGTCGTCGCCTTCGGAGAACAACAACGGTGATTCCAACTGCCACCTCGAGTCCAACCCAATCCAGGAACATCCGACGTTCTATGAACGAACGGATGGGGCTTGCTTCCCGGGCCGAGGGAGTCTACGGCCGAAGCCTGAGATTCTCCCAAAGAGATCGATTTTTGTTGTCGCGTCATGTAAGCAAACACACGATCCGCTATCACCAAGTCCACCGGTATCGTTCCGACTATCACAGCGATCGCATCGGTCGATATTGTCCGATAGGCCTTGGTGACGCTAAGGAAGACCCTTCTCTGTGCTTTGGCCAGAGTAGATTCAGCCGCGACACCGATAAGGTCCGCCCAGCCCGCAGCAGCGTAAGTTACGATCAGAACATAGCTCTATGTCCGACTCCCTACTTCGATTTCGCAAGTCTAGCCAACGCATACAACGTTTGGGTAGTCTTGGAATTCAGATAACTAGCATGAGAATTAATCTTCATTCCAGAGTCGATATGAACTCCAAAATACCTTATGGTCGTCTTGTGAGTCACATTCCCCTCTCCAATCTTTACCACAGGGGGTCTTGCTCTATCCAGAGAACTTTTCAAGAGCACCATTTCGGTCTTTGCCGCCGATAGTTCTAATTTCTCTTTGGCGGACCAAGTGGAAATAGCATCGGCGACAATCTGCCCTTTACGCTGTAACTCCAATCTCGCATTGTCAGAGACAATAACGAGAAGGTCGTCCGCGTAGGCTATGGTTCGCAGAACCCGATGTTAGTAAGAGTTTGAAGGAACTCGTCGAAAACTAAGTTCCAACAACTCAGACCGAGAATGGATCCCTGTGAGCAACCCTTGGTGACGTTTTTCTGCATGATGCCATGTTTGGAAACCATAGTAACCAACCACACGACCAGCAAAGTAATCCACCATCAGGTTGTAAAGATTTTGAGGACACCCGCGACGTTTCAGCTTTCCGAGTATGCTTGGCCACCAAACATTATCGAAACCTCCGGAGATGTCGAAGCTGAGACCCAAGACATACTTTTCCTCACAGGCGGCGACCAACTCCCACAGCAGGACCAACGCATCTTCCGTCGATCTGCCAGGGCGGAAACCAAACTCTCTGTCGGAGCAGTATGTCGAATTTAGTAACAAATCTTTCAATCTTAAGATCATAAGGTTTTCAAGGACCTTCCCCAAGATTGAAAGTAGGCATATTGGCCTATACGATTTGACCTCCGTCCCTGGCTTGTCGGATCCTTTTAAGATAGTTCGTATGGACCCGATCTTCCAGTTAACGAAGAAAACTTCCTGGGACAGACACCAAACAGACACATATAGAGGCGAAGTAGACCGCTCTGGATGGAACCATAAGCGCGTTTAACTACCTCAACCTCCACCCGGCCCGGCCCAGGACACTTGCCTCGCTTTAGGCTCGAGATCGCGTCTCCAACCTCCCTTCTAGTGAAGACAGGGCAGTTCTCCGTCGAAGGACGAGTGACGGACTCGCGTCTGATATTTGCCTGCTCCGGGGTGTCCTCCTTAGACTAATCGTCCGGGATTAACACTGCAAGGAGCTGCGAAGCAGTGGAGTTCCAGTCTAGTGTATAGCCTTCTGGTGTTCGAATGTTAGAGACCGCAATCTCAACACGTAATTTCGTGGCGATCTTGTGAACAAGACTCCACGGCTTTTCGTTCCCCTGCTCGGTAACAAAGTTCTTCCAACTTTGAAACTTTGCAGCGGGCACTGCAGCGGAAGAGCCAATCCGCACACTTTGGTAATCGGAATGCTTTGCCGCTCTTCTTCCTGGGTCTCTTTTTCACTGGACCTCTGGAAAGCACGTCTCATACGATACACGTGCTTCTTCCTTCTAGTTAATTCAGATGTCCACCAAGGGACTGATTTTGAGTGTCACTGCTTGGGACGCATGGACGCATCGCACGCATCGAGGATCGATTTCTCGACCTCTTGTGCTAGGTGTTCGATAGCCCCTCGGTCCTTAGTACCGTGGGGGAGATACCGCATAGCAGATGACACCCGGGTCCGGGAGGAGGACAACCCGCAGCACCGCGTCATACGTAAGGTTCCACAGGAGCGGTTCGAGGACCGATCCCTGTGGAACCCCGCGGCGCGTCTCCCTCGTGTGCACAACCTGGTACCGGCCGGTAAATACCACCTCCCTGGCGCGGAGATAGTCCCAAACCACCTCCAGGAGATAGGGGGGGCACTTGGAAATAATCCAGCGCCACCGCTATCTCCCTCCAGGGCAGGGGGTTGAAGGCGCTGGATATATCCAACGACACCGCGATCAACACCCGGCCCCGAACGACAGACCTTTCCCGGAGGAGACGTAGACGCTCCAACGCGTCCATCGTTGAGCGCCTCCTCCGGAATCCGTACTGGCTGTCGCTGAGGTCGGGACCACCGCGCGACAGGTGCTCGAGGAGGCGGGCAGCTATGATTCTTTCAAAAAGCTTGCCCGCCTCGTCAAGCAGATACTGCGGGTTTTCCCCCTTTCTGGTGGAGAACCAGGCACGCTTTCTTCCACACACTGGGGAAGGTCCCCCGGCGCAGGTTAGCGTCCAAGACGCTCCTGTAAGCTGGGCTGAGGACACTCAAGGCCAGAGACAACACGTCAACGTGAACTCCATCTGGGCCAGGTGCTTTCTTGCCCTTAGCCCGGAGTCCCCGTATGACCTTGGACAACTCCACCTCCGTGATCCGGAATTCGTCCGACCACTGAATGGTCAGACTCGGGGTGCGTCCCAACCCTCATTTGCAACGTGTCCTGGATCCACACAACCCCCTCTTCTGCCCCGCGCTCCCTGGCCAGAGGCCAGGCGGAGCTGATAATCACAGCCCTCAGCAAATCCTCGCCTAGTTGCTTCAGCGTGCATCTTGGCGCTGAAGGGATGCCACGTCGGAGGGGGGTGTCCGCTGGCGGGTCCGAGACCACTGCCACGTCCATAAGGACATAGCAGTGGTCCGACAAAGTTTCACAATCCCAGACCCGCCAGTTGGACACACAGCGAGAGGCGGCGGCTGACGCAAACGATACGTTCACGATGGACCAGCCGTTCCACCTCACGCACGTTGGTACGGAGCCCCGGTTTAATAACCGGAGCTCCATCCCCTCCGCCCAATCCTGTAACGCTCCGCCTCGGGAGCTGGTCCCCGGGTTACACCACGCGGTGGACCTCGCATTGAGGTCCCCGAGAACCAGCACCGGACCGGCCATGTAGGGGACTAACATAGCCCCCAGCCGGTCCAAAAACCTCTCGAGTTCGGCAGCACTACAATTGGGTGAATTGTAGCATCCAGGGAGTAGGAACCTTCCCCATTTCACCAAAACCATCCCCCTGCCCCGTTCGACCACAATGCAGGGGGGAACAGTCGCCGAGTGGCGATGTCGGCGATCCAATGTGGCTGGTCGGGGACTCGGTAGGGCTCTGTGGCTACCGCTAGGCCCACCGGCCACTCCGCCAGGCAGTGGACCATGAGGTCCTGCGCCCGGCAGCAGTGATTCGGGTTGGCCTACAATATCCCGAGGGAAGCCCTGTGCGCCATTTATAGGCTGTCACAGGACCTCTCACAGACGGCTGCGCGGGTGGGGGGAGGGAAACCACCTCTCCCGATGCCACAGCCTCCACCTCCATCGCAGCTGACACAGAGGGGGTACAGGGGAGTGTACCGTCCCCTCCGCCTCCCCGAGCTGCCGTAGAGGGTGGCGCTACACCTGCCACCCCCCTACGGCCCTTCTTTTTTTTTAGGGGCGGGGAGCACGCCATGCACGGCGTGCTCCCCGCCCCAACTCCGCGTAGACTGCGCAGTGTGGGGTCCCCCGGCACCGTACAGTAGGATTGCGCACGGTCGCATTGGACACCGATGTTTTGGAAGCGGCACATTGCGCACAGGAAGAATTTGACACAGGTCGAATTGCGACAAGTAGAATTGGACACAAGTAGATTGCGTACAAGCAGAGTATCACAGAGTAAATTTGGACACAGTAATGATTGCACACACTATTAATTGGACACAAAGCTACCTACTCGCGCGTGTTTCCCATCTCATACCTTAATCTTTTAATGCCGTGCGTGTTTCGTCTGAGATGTTTGAATCTTTTATAATTTACTGTTAGTGACGATTCTCATAAAGAGCCTGACGAACGTGTTGACATTAATTATCCTTGCAGAATATTTAATTTCTAAGATGATTTGTCGAAAATTTATTAAAGGGGTTCTACATTATTAGATTTGCAAATTATAGTCAAGTGGTGTTCGATATTTCGTAAATTCATGAAATAAGTAAATGACATTTATGCAAGGACCTGTAACGATAAGTATGTAAGACTGTTCGATGAAATTTCTCGCAGGAGTTTGTTGTTGATTTTGTGTGCTTAACCTTATTTGAGTTGACAGGAAGTAGAAATTCAGGTATGTAAGTATTTTTTGTCTATAAAACAATAGATTTAATATGGATGAACCTGATACTTTGTGGTTTCATTAATTTATCTTTTACAGGTAGTTTAATCAATGTCGAGTAGTGATCTAAAATATTTGATGGTTATATAATAGGCAGACATTGTTTTGTGGAAATTGTGAAAATTGATTGGTATGTTAATTGTTGATCATGTATAAGTAATGTGTTTTATACTATAGATATTAACTGTTGTGGGTTGACCAAATTGAATCACATATATGACATGGAAATACAGCAATGTTAAATCAAAACGAACTGTTTGCATCCTCTCTTCTGTGTATTTAACCATATTTGGATTGGCAGGAAGCTGAGGATCCAAGAAGAAATTTAGATAAGTATCTTTTGCTTATAAAACAATAGATTTAACAAGAATTAACATGATACTTTGTGGTGTTTTTAACTTATACTTTACAGGTAGTTTAATCAATGTCGAGCAGTGATTTATAATACGTGAAAGTTATGGACAGACAACTTGGTTGATATGTGCATTGGTGTGAGTTGGTGGTGAGTTGAGAAATATTACGTTTTCTAAGTTTATTATAATATAGATAAACTGCTCGCTTACATACGTACTTCATAATTCCAGACATTATGTTTTCTTTTACTATTTAGTTGCTAAATCCAAAGTGAAACATACAATATTGGTAATAATTGAATTTTTCTAGTAATATATTTATTAAACAAATTCTTAAATGCTAACTTATATTATACAATATGTGGTATTATAAATATTATTATATGTAATATGAATACATAAAACTATTCAACGGGTAAGATTTTAGGTAAATCTAAAGAAAAATTGCTTTTATATGAACCATATATTACCATTTGTAACAAACAATTTGTATATACAATAACCATTAATTTTTATTAACTAAAGCTACCACTTATATTATATCACTATTAAATATTCCGCTTCAACCGAACAACTGGATATATCGTAGTTTCATAGTATGCAACTCTTGAACCTGAAATGAAAGTAGAATAATTAAAAAGAGTTTAGATTAAAAGAAATTGTATTCATTGAATTGTATTGTAGATTAAAGTAAGCTTACATGTATATGTATGTCAAGGGGCAGATTTCAGGACACCAACTTTTCCTTTGATATAATTACTTAGATTTGTAATTTCTTGACTTAGATTTCTTAAGAATTTTTGAAATTTTGAAAAAAAGTTACTATTTCTTAGAGATACAATTGATTATATATAGAAGGGCAGTTATCAGGACAGGTCAATTATTGCATGCAAAAGACAAAATAAATTGTTTCCGGAAGTTGATTACTTAGTAATATGAAATTTTTTAATAATTTGACAGTTTATTCGATATTATCAAATTCTCCTATTTCTATAAAAGTTACAACTATGTCTATACAATTTCATCATTCTTTGTAATAAATGTATTTATTCATTGGGCGGTGTTCAATTTTTGTGTAACGCATTAATAAAAACATAGTATTTAAGATTTATTTCTTCTGAGACATTAAAAAACATTTAAATTCAGTTTAACTAATAGATATAAAAGCATTCGCGTACAGAAAATGAAATAAATCTGTTTACGAAGTAAAAAACTTATTTGATTGAGGGTAGTAAATTTTTTGCAATAACCTGTTCTATATACCACAATTGTTTCTTCATTGAGCACAAATATTTTGTCTATTGTACGCTTTATTCTAGTTGTTTTGTTCTAATTGTCTTTATTTTATTGCTTGCTTTGCATTGATATTTTGTAGAACCTTCAACTGCTTCTGTAAACCATTGATTAGTCACTGTTCTGATATATTATGATTTATAAAGTATGATGGCATTACATTCTTTTTAAGGTCTATAAATTGCAAGACAAATGTATGTAATTCAATGATCTTCTTGTATGGATAATTTCTTAACTGTATCTGTTCAATTTATTGACTTCATAAATTTATTGCTGTAATTTTCCTATCGATGTCTAGACAAACGCTGAAAATAAAGAAAAAAGTATCATAATGTTATATATTGAAACATTGTATTTTATTTACAACTTTAATTTGAAATAAAGTATTTATTATTTCTTTTATCTTAAACATATTTCCAGATTAATCCTGCGAGAACGTAAGTGCAACTCTTTATTCAATATTTTTGCTATTTGTCCAAGTATTTCATTGAATACTATACATTTCCCCTATGTTCTGTAATACTAGTTGCGTTGCAACCATAGAATTACCATTAAAACATATATAATTACATAGAAGAATATAACTACTGCATAATTAGAACTACAAGAGTAAGTATTCTTCAAGTAGATACATTATTAGATATCGTGAGACTTTTCAATATATAGAATAAACTAAAGTGGAAACTACCATTTGTATTGAAGAAACCTAACACCATTTGATGCATGTAATAACTACAGAATCACATTAAATGCTAGCTATTAATATAGATTAAAGTGTAAAACTGCTTTTTCTTGTAATTCACCATTTGACTCTGGCTGATCGTCAACAACATATCACAGGACTCAAGTAATGGGAACTTTAAATATTAAGTCCCACTGAAAAAAGTTCTGTGTCTTGTTCATTGAATTGGTTTACTATCTTTTTAATCTTCCTTGATGAATCAAAAATTTTCTCCTTGGTTATTATCCAATTTCCACCTTATGTACACAGATACTTACATCCAAATTAATATTTACAAATGAAATCACAAGCGCATACAATCATAATTTTCATACACACTTTATATACAGATCACTTAATTCTAAATTAAAGGGAGCGCTATGTATGTATCATATCACGTTGCACTGTTAAAATTTATTATGCTTCTAATGCATACGTACACATATTACAAGGAACATTACTGTGTCTTGTGCATTACTTCTAGCAATATCTGGACGAATTTTCTTCCACTGTCTTAATAACTGGCATCCAAGTGTTTCTTATTTGGACAAAATGAATATTTATTACCTTAAATTTGTATTATGAAATGCACACTTAAACACTGTTTTTGTATATTTTTTTCCACAACGACACGAAAAATTTTTCATCACTTATTCTTCTATGTAAAAACACGTTATATTCCCACTCACAACAATTGCATAAAAAACCACATACAAATTAAATTCAGATCCAAATTTAATAAATTCTAAGTCATATTTAATCACACATTTTCCGATACAATATCAGCACACGTAGCCTTCGAAAAGCAATGATTATTAAATTTACGGCGTTAAAATGTTACGAATTCAAAGAGTACAAGTTCAACCGACACAGCGTCCAAAGTGAACATTTATCTAAATTTATATTATGAAATGCACACTCAGACTCCATTTTTATATATTTTTTTCTGCAACAGCACCGGCTCCCGTTCAAAAACTGGAAAGTATTGGCAATTTCCAGTAAAATAATAAGTCGATCGTACAAATGCATGGAGAAATAGTGTAATTATTAAATTTTGTTCATTTTTACTGGTTTATTGCGTCATCTGCATAACGCCTTACTTTTCGTCATGAGCAGTGTTTCGCCGAATAATTGAAAATAAAAAGGAATGTTATTGACAATATATTGTTAGGCTACACGTAATTAATATTATCTAATCTAATTGACAAAGAAATATAATGAATGACGTCCGGGAAGATTTTAGATTACAATTGCTTGTGACGGTATAAAGCTATAAATGGTAATTAAATCCATGGCATAAGTACATGACTTAACTACATGTCTTTGAATAGCTAATTTACTCATGGTAGAAGAAATTGTTTATTTATTTATTTAAATAATATATTTTTGAAAACATAATCTTTTTTTTAATTTACCATACTAAGTATTGTTTCTCATTCGTGAAAATTTATATGCTTAAACTACAGGCTTCAATTATGGATACATGTTTTTGGAAATTTTGATTTTCACCATATAACAATAATTATATTAATTGGGAAATTCCTTCTTCCGCGGTTCCTTTATCATTTTCGTTTCTTATAAAGTATGCAAGATTTTAATTTGAAATTTTACGCACGTCTCTAGTATTATCTTAGTATGATGTATAAATTTGTATAGAAAGATTTATAGAAAAATATAAATGTTACAGCCCGCTGATCGTGACGCTGCAATGAACACATTCGCCACTGGTTGACTTGATTTCTACCGTTCAAATAAACTGAAGTAAATAAATCAATTAGCGTTTTATTCGATATGAATGACGTTATCCTCTAGCGAAAAAAAAAATGAAAACTTAATTTTCGAGAGTAGTAAAGGTATGCGGGTTCTAAGCCATGGGGCTGCGAGGGGGGAGGGGGCACGAATGGTGGGGGGTTGGTAATTATTACCTACGGTCGTTAAGGTAGAGGGGGGACCGGGGCGGGTTCTGCTGGCCTGGAAGCAGGCCCGGATGGTCCTTATCCCGAAAAAGGGAAAGCCCGCGGATTCGCCCTCCGCGTATCGGCCGATCAGCCTTCTCGACGAGGCGGGCAAGCTCTTCGAGCGTGTGCTCGCTGCCCGCCTGTCGAGGAGCCTGTCCGACGGGAGTATGCAGTTGGCAGGCTGCCAATACGGTTTCCGCGAGGGCCGGTCGACGCTTGATGCGATCGAGCACGTCCATGCCCTCGCGGACCGGGCGGTCTCCCGGGGTAGGGTGGCGTTGGCGATTAGTCTCGACATCGCCAACGCATTTAACACCCTGCCCTGGGGCACGATCCGGGAGGTGCTCCGAGAACACGGAGTGCCTCCATATCTACGGGTCGTGTTAGCCGACTACCTGTCGGACAGGTGGATCGAGTACCCTGGCAGAGGCAGGGTGCCGATACGTCGGAGGGTCAGCCGAGGCGTGCCCCAGGGGTCCGTTTTAGGACCCCTGTTATGGAACTTGGGGTACGACTCGGTGTTGTGCGGGCTCCTCCCACCCGGTGTCTTTGTGGTCTGCTACGCAGATCCAGGCTCTAGGGCTTCGGATCTCGCCGCAAAAGACGGACGAAGTCATGTTTCATGAGCTACCTCTGATGCGGCGGGTCCCCCAGACCTGGATCCGCGTGGGTAATGCGGCTGTCCGGGTCGGAGGCCGGATGAAGTATCTGGGCCTCGACCTGGACAACCGGTGGCGCTGGGAGGGGCATTTCGACCGCCTGGTCCCCCGAATTGAGGCGGTGACGACCCAGTTGGGTCGTCTCCTGCCCAATCTCGGGGGACCGGAAGAGAGGGTCCGCCGCCTCTACCTGGGGGTCGTGCGATCCATGGTCCTATACCGGTCACCCGTATGGGCGCGCGACCTGGTGGCCTGCCGTCGTGGACGGCACCTGCTGCGCCGCGTGCAGCGGCATATGTCCATCAGGATCGCGCGCGGGCATCGCACGATCTCCCACGAGGGCGGTCGTCCTAGCGAGGTTCGTCCCCTTTGATTTCCAGGCGGAGGCACACGCCGACGTGTATCAGCGTGTGCAAGATCTCCGCCGGAACCGGGGCGATCCACAGGACGAGGCGGTCGAAGCCTACCGGCGCCAAAGGTGGCAGCTGGCCCGCGAGAAGTGGCGGCGCCAGCTCCTGGAGCGTGGCGCCGCCCGAAAGAGGACGGTAGCGGCGGTCCTGCCGAGCTTCGATGCTTGGCTGGACCGCCGACACGGGCGACTCACCTACCGGCTCACGCAGGTGCTCACCGGACATGGTTGTTTCGGTGAGTACCTGCACAAGGTGGGGGCGGAGGGGTCGCCCGCGTGCCACCAGTGCGGCGCGGAGCTGGACTCCGCGCAGCACTTACTCCACCTTATCGTGAGAGAGGCGGGCACTCCGCCTAGCTATTGGAGGGCACCTCTCGCTCCCGGCCGTCGTTTCGGCCATGGTCGAGAGCGAGAGGTCCTGGAACGCGGTGTCCTTCTGCGAGACTACTGTCTCGCGGAAGGAGGATGACGAGCGGGATCGGGAGCGCACCGATCTAGTTCGCATAGAGAGGTGGAGGTTGAGGCGGGCCAGGCGACGACGGCTAGCTGCCGCCCCTGCCGCAGGGGGGACTGGTCCCCCCCCCGTAAACCCTCACCTCCTCCTGGCAGTCTGTCGCGTAGGGCGGCCCTGCACACGTAGCCGGCGAGCCCAAGCTTTGGGCTCGCCGACTGTCAGCAGGGCCGCGGGGCGGGGGGGGGGGGGGGGAGGTTCGTCACCCGACGCCCCCCCACTCCTTTGGCCCCATTGCGGCATATTTCCCTGTGGGTCGGGGAACAGAATACGCCCACAATAATCCCTGCTTGTCGTAAGAGGCGACTAAAAGGGACAGGCGAGACCAGGCTGTGGCACCCGCGGTCAGGTGGGGAGGTATTCACTCCCCACCGGAGATGGCACTTCTCCCTTCGTTGGGGGGAGAGGCGCGTGGGGGGGGGGGGGGGCCACCGGTAGCGTTCGTAAGAGATCCCGGTGACCCTCCCCAATGCGCCGTGGCCGGCCACTGTGAGGTTTTAGTGGGTATTCCCCTTGATATCAAATTAAGGGGCGAGTCCCACACTGCTCCCTCCTTATGAGGGAGCATACGTAAACGCATTTCCTCACGCAAAAAAAAAAAGTTTAGGAGTTCGGGTTGAGTACACAATGACTAAATCGTATGGTTAAAATGTAACATGCGTCGTTAATAAAGCCTCGCAACTAGTTAATTTAATAGAATAATAACTCGAGCGGTAATATATTATGTTGTGGGATCGTTACACTGGCTAGGATTGGTGATTTCAAAGTAAAGGTTTGATGATTGATCTTACAGACTTTTAAGTTTACACAAAGAGTATATATTCAAAATAACTATACTAATTACAAGTGTCTAGTGTCGTGTTGTCGCGGTTAGTGTATGAAGTTAAAATTACCTAAATCTTGCGCGGTGTTGACGCACTGGCGATGCGGGGGTCGAGAGTACTTTTATGGTCGTAATAGATTTTAAAACCGTCTTCGCAGATCTATATGGTAACGATGATCGAAAGGAACTGAAGCCCGATCTCACTAGAATATTACTCTACAGACGATCAATGTGTCTCTAACGAGTAACCCTTTCGTACTAGCCCCCGAGCAACGGAAATCGTGGGTTTATATACCCCTAAATGTTGGTAGGGAACAATGATTTCCATATTAGAAAATGTGACGGTTATGATTTTCGTTGCTCTGAGGTCGGCAGCTGTGTGCCCTGGGAAAAGGGTAGATTAGAAAGTATCCCACTCAACGCGAGTCAATGATGATATTAAGAGGATGCAGCTGCAGGATATACTCCAGTGAGACCGAGCTCCAAATTCCAGCAGGATAGATAAAATAAGATTAATGAACGCGAGCTTCTAAAAACGGAGAGTTTCTATATACGTAACAGGTTTGTCCCCGTCTTAATGCAAAGTGCTCCATTTATAGTTTTTTTATTTCATTTTTTATTTACTGCTGTTTATACATATATATTTATCATTTTTTCATATTTTTATAATAAAAAGAAATAGCTTGGATATATGTGTCTTTCTTTCTTTCTAGCGCATTTCCTCCCATATCATATTCGCATCCGGTGTAATGTTTCCTCCGCACGTTCTCCAGTATTCTCATCATCAAAAGAATGATGTCACCTCTACCGTTTCTTTAATATCTAGTCCTTGAAAAATTGTATCGCGCAAATAAAATAGAATTGCTGCCGGATTGTAATTTGCAAACATTGCGTTTTTGGATCTTCTGCTCGAGACCATCGTCGCGAAACGTGGGAGATTCCCACGTCACAAAGAGGTGAACTCTCCGCGGAGAACGAGACCGACCAAGATCGAGAGCACCACCAGGGTAACTCAGGGTTATGACTAATTTGCGTATCTGAAGAGCAATAGCGTTGGGCTAACGACGCCAACACCGAGCGATGCGGCTTAGAGGCTACCGATCCCGTCCAACCCGGCGCCGGCTCCACGGACTGGCCAGACGAAGCTCAAATGGACAGGGGCTGGAGGTTCTTGGTAACAGCCCCTGGACTCCGCTACGACCTTCAGGGGCAGGAGGCCGTTTAGGATAGCGAAGTCAGCCAGGTTCTCGAGTGCACCGAGACCCGGCCCGCTCCAGATTCTTCGAGGAATGCCAGCACCGACACGCCACCAAAGTCGCCGAGGGACGAAACTGGACAACCGCCCATGACGAGCGCGCCGATAACGCGATTTGAATTTGGCCGCCATAAGGTGAGGCTGGGGGGAAGCGCGTGAGCCAACGCGTGCTTCCTCTTTTACCTCACGCTCATGGATAGGATATCGTGAATTGGTCGGGTTGCCTGGTGGCTGCCGAGCACCCTGTCGGGCGAAATAGCATTGTTAGCGGGAAATCGTCTTTGCGTAGGATATCGAGCGAATTAACGAACATCTAGTCGCGAATCTATTGTAACGCGCACGTGTTTGAATCGCTGCCGGTTAACGTTCTCGTCGAAAAGGTCGAGCCCACCGCGACCGCGTCAAGACTGTCCGAATATCGTTTCCAAACTCGCTTTTTTGCGAATCGTGACGGAACTTGGGCTATCGTAAACGAAATCCGGACGTATTTTCGAAACGTAGTTCTCGTGTCGGTTACCGGTCGTCCCGGTGACCTTAGACGCTACGACAGCTCGGCAGTGTACACCGTATTCTGTAACATCTTTCGTGTACAATATATTCTATATTATTTTAAACGAGTGCTGTGTTAATCCACCCCGTCTCGCCGTGAAGACGGCTTTCTCAGACTTCCTTTCCTCGCCGACGATCCACGCCCCTCTCCGCGATCCGGATCGCTAGCCGTGGTAAAATTTCGCGACGTTCGGCTTCTCACGCCGGTATCTCCTGATACCTGGCGCTCGGGTTTTCCCGTAAAGGCGTGGGAAGTCAGAAAACTCTCACTTTGCACGCTTCCCGACGCGGATCGTGGACCGTGTCGGGAAATCACGTTGCAAAAATTGGCGCCCAACGTTTCCAGGGCTTTTGGGCGTGCGAGGGAAGTAAATCACAGGGAAGTGCGGATTGACGAGTGCTCTTTGAAAATTTTTGAATTGTGCTTTCTTTTCACGATTTCGGTTAACGTTTCGAACGAGTAATGGCGTAATTACTCACAGCGGTCATTCGCTTGTGTTGTGGTGTGCCAGTGTAGTGCCGTGTTTACGTTTCGCGCAGCGGTTAAAGCGACGAAATTCGTTACGGTCGGATAACGGGTGAGTCAGAAATAAAGCTCATCACCGCGAAGGATATCGATCTACGGGATTAGAATTTCGAATTTCAGTTAACGGTTAACAATTTCGCACGAATGTCGGCGGAGGACGTTGCGTGGGTGAGCAGGTTAGAACGCGCGGAAATACTAAAGGAATTACTGCAACGCGGGTTATCGATTCGGGGCACGGATCCAACGTTAAGAAATCGGCTATTACAAAACCTTCGTTTCGAGCGCGAGGAGGCTTCGGGGCCCGGTACACCGTCGTCAGACATGGCCGAAAACATGAACCGCGGGGTAGAACAGAATTTACTTACCAAACGTTGAACAATTGAGTCTTCTTCTTCTTTTTTACCGATCTCTGATAATTACCTATGATAATTACCTCATCTTTTCTAATCTTACGTGTTGCACGGGTAAAAAGGCATGAGTGCGAGGAAGAAAATGCTTGGGCGCGAGAGAGAGAGAGAGGGAACCCGGGGGACCCGAAAAAACACCCCACTCCTGCGCCCCAAGAGGACGGTTTCCCCCACCCTTATGCGTTTATTTCGTTACATGTAAAATTTGCGTTTTTCTTTCTTACCGACCAGTGGTGTCCCCACTCTACGTTTTTTTTTTTTTTTTTTACGTGACGAAATGCGTTAACGCACGCCCCTCATAAGGAGGGGGTAGTGTGGGACTCGCTCCTTGATTTGATATCAAGGGGAATACCCACTAAAACCTCACGGTGGCCGGCCACGGAGCATTGGGGAGGAGCATCGGGATCTCTTACGAACGCTACCGATGCCCCCCCGCGCCTCTCCCCCTCCCCAACGAAAGGAGGAGTGCCATCTCCGGTGGGGAGTGAATACCTCCCCACCTGACCGCGGGTGCCACAGGCCGCGGTCTCGCCTGTCCCTTTTAGTCGCCTCTTACGACAAGCAGGGATTACTGTGGGCGTATTCTGTTCCCCGACCCACAGGGAAATATACCGCTATGGGGCCAGCAGCCCCCCGCGGCGCAAGCACCAGGCATGTTCCAAAGGAGTGGGTGGAGGCGGGCGTCGGGTGAAGACCCCCCCCCCCCCCCCGCCCCGCGCCCCGGCGGGCGGCCGGCGGCCCCAAAGCTGGCGCTCCCCGGCTACGTGTGCGGGGCCCCCCCCCGCGGCAGACGCGCGGGGGGGGGGGGGGGTTTTGGGGGGGGGGGGGTGGGACCAGTCCCCCCTGCGGCAGGGGCGGCAGCTAGCTGCCGTCGCTTGGCCCGCCTCAACCTCCTCCTCTCTATGCGAGCGGGATCGGTGCGCTCCCGATCCCGCTCGTCATCCTCCTTCTCGACCACCTCTCGGCACCTCTCGCTCTCGACCATGGCCGAAACGACGGCCGGGAGCGAGAGATGCCCTCCAATAGCTAGGCGGAGTGCCCGCCTCTCTCACGATAAGGTGGAGTAAGTGCTGCGCGGAGTCCAGCTCCGCGCCGCACTGGTGGCACGTGGGCGACCCCTCCGCCCCCACCTTGTGCAGGTACTCACCGAAACAACCATGTCCGGTGAGCACCTGCGTGAGCCGGTAGGTGAGTCGCCCGTGTCGGCGGTCCAGCCAAGCATCGAAGCTCGGCAGGACCGCCGCTACCGTCCTCTTTCGGGCGGCGCCGCTCTCCAGGAGCTGGCCTCCGACACTTTTCGCGGGCCAGCTGCCACCTATAGCACCGGTAGGCTTCGACCGCCTCGTCCTGTGGTTCGCCCCGGTACCGGCGGAGATCTTGCACACGCCGATACACGTCGGCGTGTGCCTCCGCCAGGAAATCAAAGGGGACGACCCTCGCTAGGACGGCCGCCGCCTCGTGGGAGATCGTGCGATACCCGCGCGCGATCCTGATGGATATATGCCGCTGCACGCGGCGCAGCAGGTGCCGTCCACGACGGCAGGCCACCAGGTCGCGCGCCTATACGGGTGACCCGTATAGGGCCATGGATCGCACGACCCCCAGGTAGAGGCGGCGGACCCTCTCTTCCGGCCCCCCGAGATTGGGCAGGAGACGACCCAACAGGGTCGTCACCGCCTCAATTCGGGGGACCAGGCGGTCGAAGTGCCCCTACCAGCGCCACCGGTTGTCCAGGTCGAGGCCCAGGTCTGGGGGGCCCGCCGCGTCAGAGGTAGCCCATGAAACATGACTACCTTCGTCTTTTGCGGCGAAATCCAAAGCCCTAGAGCCTGGACCCTCGCGACCACGATCGCGGCCGCTAGTTCCGCCAGCCTGTAGACCCTGGTCCCATCCCGACCCACCGCGATGATCAATGTGTCGTCTGCGTAGCAGACCACAAAGACACCGGGTGGGAGGAGCCCGCGCAACATCGAGTCTTACCCCAAGTTCCATAACAGGGGTCCTAAAACGGACCCCTGGGGCACGCCTTGGCTGATCCTCCGACGTATCGGCACCCCGCCTCTGCCAGGGTACTCGATCCATCTGTCCGACAGGTAGTCGGATAACAGGACCCGTAGATATGGAGACACTCCGTGTTCTCGGAGCGCCTCTCGGAGCGCCTCCCGGATCGTGCCCCAGGGCAGGGTGTTAAATGCGTTGGGTAACTAATCGCCAACGCCACTCCACCCCGAGTGACCGCCCGGCCTGCGAGGGCATGGACGTGGTCGATCACATCAAGCGTCGACCGGCCCTCGCGGATCCGTATTGGCAGCCAGCCAACTGCATACTCCCGTCGGACAGGCCCCTCGACAGGCGGGCAGCGAGCACACGCTCGAAGAGCTTGCCCGCCTCGTCGAGGAGGCTGATCGGCCGATACGCGGAGGGCGAATCCGTGGGCTTTCCCTTTTTCGGGATAAGGACCATCCGGGCCTGCTTCTAGGCCAGCGGACCCGCCCCGACTCTAGGCAGCCGTCGAACAGCCGCCTGAGCCGGGGACCCAGGATGCGCAGCGCCAAAGCGAGCGCCCGCCCAAGGATGCCGTCGGGCCCTGGTGCCGTATTCCTGGTCACCATTCGCCCGACGGCCATCCCGAGCTCCCCCTCGGCGACCCCCAGGCCGGCGGACCAGTTACTGGCCTCCGCTGGTAGGCGCGGCCGCGGGCCCTCCTCTGGATCTACCGGAAAGAGGGTATCGACGACACGCTCCAGAAACCCGAACTCCTAAATTTAACCTATCCTGCGGTTACCCTTTACTGGGAGATACCGATTCCCAGGAGCTATTTGACTTCGCACCAGAGTCGCTGCACTTTTCCAACAACCTCACAGTTCGAACCTTACCCTACGGTTACCTTTCACTGGGAGATACCAATTCCCAGTAGCTACCTGACTTCGCGTCAGAGGCGTCTGCACTATCTACTCTATCCTCAAATCTTCGGCTCCATTGATACATACTAATTAATCGTATCGGTCCAATTCTCGAATCCACCCCACTCGCAGGGCTCACACGCGCGTCGCTATCGCCCTGGCTCGTAACAAACTCGTTGATATAATATAAAATATGACAAAAATACAAATAAAAATAAAAATATAAATAAAAAAAAAATAAAAAAAATACAAGTAAAATAAAAAACTATACGATATCAACGGGTTGCCCCCGTCTTAATGCAAAGTGGTCCATCGGCGTAACTATGAAGTGACGCGCGATGCAGACGAGGCACCGCGCCGCAGGTGCACACGTATATAGTTGCTGTCTGCATCGCGCGCAATTCCTGAAGTTATGGAACCGCAGTCTCGGGATTGTCAAATGAGCCTCGGATCGTGGGTGGAACACGCTTTCCTGAAGCGAGAGCTCCAGCCAACATTGGGCGCATATCCGGCGGCGGAAGGGGTCGTTCGCCTCCGGGACGACGAACGCCGCTCGGACCTCCCGGAGGTACCTCAAATTAAGCAGATATCGGTATGTTTCAGGGTGCTCCTCCGGGAGCACCCCATCGAAATCAAACTCCTCAATATTATCCGGAACCTCGTTAAATAGACGCGGGGTGTTAATTGGCATTTCTATAAGAAAAAAGAAACGATATTTTTTAATATTTCTTTTCACGCACGCATGCACGTATGTTCAGGAATATCCATTTCACTGTCGAGTTCGTGGCGTTATCAATATGACACATTTGCTGGTGAAATGCTATATCTACATATTAATAATCTAGCATTTTAAAAAAATTTCTGTAACACTTTCACACATCGATAACACCAGGAACTGGTCACTACTGTATATGTATTTTTCACTTACTTTCGTTTTATAAATACGGCACTTCACGAATAACTTTCAAGCAATTGTCTTAACCACTGTCGGACTGCGAATACCTTTGAAAACGTTACAGCGAAAGATCCAATCCAGCGAGAAACAAAAACTGTTGAGTAGGCATCAACATTTGTCGGGAGACTGACAAACATTACACCGGATGAGAATATGATGTGGGGTAAATGCGCTAGAAAGAAAGACTCATATATCCAAACTATTTTTTATTGATAACAAAAAATACATATATTTTTTATTTCTGGTATTTCAACCACCAGTTGTATAATTTAAATACATTTTATAAAGCGCAATTTGTTACATGGTTTATGCATCGCATGGTATTAGTAACATCAAAAGTTTTCAAACACGCGATATCTTTGTAATCAGCATCCAATAATGTTCTCAATAGTTACATTCAAATTTCTATCAAGTAGATTTTTCAACCAGTCACGGTTTTGGCTTCCCGTGACACATGCGATAGGCCATGCATCGTCGTCGTCGACTATTGCCGTTGTAATCAATCGTTTCGCCATACTGTATGGAACGAAACCATCTTCCCACGATAGTCCATGATGATTTGCCGCCACCCAAGAAGCACGAGATTCATCGGCTACCGATAGTGAATTTCATGGATACGGGCTTTTGAAAATGTAATGGGTGAGAACGGTTCCTTTTCTCAACACCGCCACTTTCTTTACAATAAACCTGGTTCTGTCGGTGAACCCTTGTATGTCAACAAACCATCGTGACGATATCTTTGAAACTACGCCACAATGCGAGGTGTTCATCTCTTACATATTACAAATATTGCTGATGCTGCAGTTTATGTGATTTTGCGCACAACGTTGGACAATGGACAGTATTCGATGACGCGATCATGCAAAATAAGTCAGTACGCGGTAATATTTGCTGGCACGTTTTCTTTGCAATCAAATTCTATTCGCACGTCTACGGTGGCGCTCTTGATTGATTCGTTCTGTCGCGAGCAATCGATGACTACAAACGGCCCATGCAACAAAAAGTTGTCCGTATTGCAAAGCGTTTCGTAACAGTCGTATCCGTAATAAGCTTTACGAAAACGTGCATATATATCAAAAAGAATAGCATATCTGTTTCTATCAAAATCAAGATTCAAGTCATCGTATGGATAAAAGTCATAGTTTAGATAAAGTTTCACGTTGGTCAATTTACATGCATCGAAATTGCTCGCATCTTCCGACATGATATTCTTTCGACCAGTCTGCAGTGCAAAAATGACGTATCGCGGTTTCTCCAGCTGAGTCGCAGTTTTAACGGCCCACGAATGTTTTGTCGTACTTTGCAACAAAGGGTACTCGTACAGGTCCCACGAACGAAAACTCATGCTTAGGTATTGCCCGCTTTCCAAAATTCGCAACAACGATAGTTTATTCGTATCATTCAGTATGACGTGAGGCATTCGCCACTGTATCTTTAATAATTCGACCACCTGTTCCAGCGTGGAATTTCCAACGATGCAATTATTATCACTGCACGCACGTATAAGAATGAGTTCGTGACGAGCGTTGATTACTATACGCCTGTAATCTTCGCAAAAACCCAACAGCATGTTGAGCGGTACACAAAAGTTAAAGTAACCTATCGGTATGTTTGACTGTGTGATCCATCCAGCATTCCGTAAAATTAGCGATTTGTCAAATGTTAGGGAAACAAAATTTTTGATGGTGCTTGTTATTCCAACGTTTCTGTTGCGACCAATCTCCACACCATTGAGTTCAAATCGAATTTCATCAAACATAAAGGCGACACAATTGTTTTCGAGGTGTGCTTCTACCCCTTCCTTTGGTTTCTTTACTTTGAATCTTCCTTCCACGTATAGAAAGCTCTCACATGGTAACGTGTATAAATCCTGCTGTTGTATAGGTATTATGTGTTGGCGTATGGGTTGTATGTGTGAGTCTCAATCTTGGCGATGCTGTCGTCAAAGATCGGTTCGCCTCCAATATTTAAGATATTAGCCATTTTGTACAACGAAACCCAACGATTTCAGAAATTCAGCATTCGATGCAGTCAGCTTCGCAGATGATCGAATTGTCTTTTCGCCCAATGGTTTTAGACAGCCAATATTCGATACAGTAAGTTTCGCAGGCGATCGAATTGTTTTCTCTTTGTTTTCACGTATCGTCTGCTCCGCTTCATTCAATACAAGCATCTCCCACTACGGCCGTTGTCTCCGTACATGCAGTCGAACGGTGATCTGCTCTCCTCGAAAATCTAACAATTGACTGTCTTGATCCACGACGCGAATCGTCAAATCCGAAATGCTTCGTGCAGTGATCGAAAGGTAAATGATCTGTGTTGGTCTTTCCGATATGTTATATCCAGGTGGAACGGTAGGCGAATACTCGTGTATCGTGTGCACGCTCTTGTTATTGCTGTAAGCACCAGCCGTCATGTTGCATTTAATGCGAATAATATTTACGTTCATTATATTGATTGGCGCATCCGATTCGTCGTAAACCCCAGCAACGAGCCGGAATCCAATCCTTCAGGAATAATGATTTGCTTATCATCGTTATCGTAGTAAAATTTATTATTCGACAAATTTACATTCGGTATGGTGTAATAAGTCTCAAAGTCCGTAAGACCGAGCTCGTAATCACCATCGCTCAGATCGATGGACGGAAAATAGCTTACTGCAAGAATGCTACTTTGGCCGGTGAGCGTTAACGTCAGCGAAATGTTTAAACGAATACTGGAGTTAAAGTGTGCAATGACTGCCCTTAAATTGTTTGTCGACCGTCTGCAGAAACTGCAAACATAGCTGTCCGCAATTGCTCTGATTATAGCGCTAATAAGCCCTGTGATTATACTTGATTACGCTATTCTTGAAATACTGTATCAGTTCCCTCGGCGGTTGAAGATTGCCAAAACTATCGAAATATATGGTGCGAGTTCCCCGTTCTGCGTACGCAACCCAATGAGTACCAGGTCCCTCGAAAGTATCCAAATTTACGATTCCGCTCTCGTTCCTGTGTATCCCATCTGTTGGTAAAGTATTGCGCATAAAAATACCCCTGAAATATGGAATAGGCATACGCTTTGCCACATGCTGTAGTTGTACGTTGGTGGTTACACCTTCGGGCATTTTAATTTTGACGTTTTTTTTTTTCTCTTCGGAACTCCTCGTCTGCGTTTGTACGGCGCGAGGTGTATTCCGCGACCTTCCATAGCACGATTATGCCGTTACATTTCCTCCAGCTGTTTTCGCGCAGATTTGGCGTCGTTCACGGCCTTATCCACGCCAGCAGCACCACCGGTTAACGCTCCTATTGCTGATAAGGCGGGAAGGAGAAACGGGAGGATACCGCCATGCTTTGCTATCGGTAGAGCTCGCTTCCCCTTGTTCTTCTTACTATGACACTTTTTCTTCTTGAGCCCCATTCCAAGCTTCGTCTTAGCTTTGTGCGTACGTTGATTTGGACGATTGTAATGCAAGAGACACCTACGATAAAACTGGACTTCAGGATCAGCTCTTATATGTTTCGGCAGTTTATCCCACGCGTAATGAATGTCGCTAGCGAACCGATTCAAAAGTACTATCTTTGGCACGTATTCCAATTGCTCCACAGTGAAGTCGAACAGTGTATCACCATCGATCAGTATGAAAGCCATTTCTACACTGGCTGATACGTCTGGGTCATGCTAGTATAAATACCCCTCAACATCGACACATACGTTTTCTTTCATTTTTTACCACAGCTACGATGCGGTTCGTGCGCCAATCACCTGCGATTAGAGTGACTAATGTAAACAAAAAGGCACAGTCTGAGAAAGAGGTACGCAAACATGGAAATATGCTACCGACCTCTATACGTGGTATTATCTGCGGCCTGTCGAATTGCGGCAAAACGAACGTGTTGATTAGTTTGTTAGAAAGTCCGCACGGTGTTCGCTTCGAAAACGTATACGTGTACTCGAAATCATTGCAACAACCGAAATGTTGATATCTAGAAAATATAATCTCGTCGATAGACGTAATTGGTTATTTTACATTTTCGAATAACAGCGACGTCGTTCCACCGAGCGAGGCACTTCCGAATTCGGTTTTTATCTTTGACGACGTGGCATGCGATAAGCAAAACACGGTAAGAGAATACTTTGCAATGGGTAGGTACTCGGACGTTGACTGTTTCTATCTTTGTCAGACATATGCGAAGATACCGAAACATCTGATACGCTACAACGGGAACCTGCTGATCATTTTCAAACAAGTTGGTATAAATCTGAAGCACGTATACAACGATCATGTAAACACTGACATGTCTTTTGAGAATTTCTGCAAATTGTGTACCGCTTGCTGGCAAGAAAAATATGGATTTGTAGTGATTGACAAAAACAGTGCTTTATGGAATGGTCGCTATAGAAAAGGATTTAATGACTTTGCAATATCGTAACACGTCCAGTTATGTCCGATACGTTGAGAATGCAGTGTTCCAACATGAGCAGTAACAGCGTTAAAGATCGTGAGAGGATAGCGAAACAGATTGCAACAACGAGCGATTTGATTCGCAGAAAGTATCGTGAATTGAAAACTGGTAAAATTGACGAAGAGATTGCGTTGGAAAAACACTTTAAGCCTGTTATTGAACCACTGAAGACAATTGTCAGCAACACGTTAAGAAATTATGATCTACACAATAACACAGATATCGGAAGCGAACCATTATCCATTCCGAATATCAAGGAATCGGATAAAATACAATCAAATTTGTGGTTAAATTTCTCGAAACCGCCAAATATAAAAAAATCAAAATTAAGCAGTTTACCCGATATGACTGATAGCCTCTACACCGATTAAGACAGTACCAACAACAACAACAACAACAACAACAACAACAACAACAACAATAACAACAACAACAACAACAACAACAACAAAACGCTTATAAACGAAGATGTTTTTGAAAGTCCAAACAGCTATTTCTCGACATCTGTTCAAAGCCAATTGCAAACGCCGGAAGGCGAAGAAACGGTACGTAATCATCTAGGTCCACTGAGTCAAAAATACATCGCACCTGTATTACGTGGCGACGTAGACGTTGGTATGGATTACGTGTACGGTGTTTATCTCACCAATGATGGACTGATGCTCGGTAACAAATATGTTGACGTGGACAATGCGGATAACATAATTATCGATGGTATACGATATTCGGGGACACCCGGCCTTTATGAACTGATATTCAAGAAAACTCCAGATAACGACATTTACACTGAGGCTGATGAACGCAAATACAGGGACATACTGCTGACAACGAGTGCGCATAAGCACAAGCACAATTCGTATGGTCAAACATTAGCCAACAGAGGATACAAGAATAATCATGTAATCAAGCCTTTATTGCAAGATAAAAAAGTTGGAAATGGCATACCGTGTTTCATGAGATTAACCAAAAATAACATTGATTACGAACGATCTCAAAGAACTCGTAGATCGGTTTCGATTGCTCGAGGCTTCGCGTCAAGCCGGTCACAATGCTCACGACAATGAGATGCTATCGATTATCGAGGAACTTCGCGAGGCAGAATTCATTATAAATTAAGCTGCACCTTGGCGATACAGTCAATCGTCATTAAAATGTCAATCAACAAGTTTGGATCATACTATCACTGGAATGGAGTAGTCAGAAATTATGTACGCGACAACGCTCTTTGTGTTGTTGGCACCAGTTATGACGCAAAGTCGTGCAGGATTCGACGGATAGCACCGCTTGTAGAGGATGGCGATGCTATCAACAAGCTGTACTTGCACGAAAACATGGCAGTTATAAAAAGTCGACAAGACGTATTCGACAAAAAGATGATTATGTTTTAAAATTTCGTTCAGAGCTCGAAAGATGAGCTGAATAAATTAGAGAGGGATATTACCGAATTCCGAAATCTAATGCAGACGCATCAATAGCTGGACGTTGAGACTATTAACCGACCGACATACCGGTCAACAGACCGGTCAACCGACTGACATACTGGTCAACAAACCGGTTAACCGACCGACATGCCGGTCAACAGACCGACATACCGGTCAACCGACCGACATACCAGTCAACAGACCGGTCAACCGACCGACCGATCGACCGACCAACCGTTGCGTTGAGCACCAATTTGATGTTTGATAAGACGTGTACATCAAGTCTTTGTGTCAGTGTTGAGTCATAAGTAGTATAGCTAGGCCAGCTCTAAGCCATAGGGCTCCGAGAGGGGAGCGTGGGAGGGGGGAACCGAGGCCGGGGGGGAGGGGGAGCGGGCACGAGTGGTGGGGGAACCGAGACCGGGGGGGGAGGGGGAGCGGGAACGAGTGGTGTGGGTCGGTAATTATTACCTACGGTGGGTAAGGTAGGATGCAATTATTACCTACGGTCGTTAAGGTAGAGGGGGGACACCACCGGTCGGTCATTATCAGAGATCTGTAAAGAAGAAAAACGCAAATTTTACATGTAACGAAATAAGCGCGTAAGGGAGGGGGAAACCATCCTCTTTGTCTTCGCGGGAGGTAAGCGCGCACGCCGTAAGGGAGGGGAACCGTCCCCTTCGCGCGCAGGAGTAAGGGGGTCGGCGTTGCGGCCCTCGCGGGTTCCCTCTCTCTCGCGCCCGAGTATTTTCTTCTTCGCACTCATGCCCCGTGCAACATATAATATTACATTATAATCTTTGACGCAGCCATCGGTAGGAACGTCTCGCGACGATGGCATCGAGCAGAAGATCCAAAAACGCAAAGTTTGCACATTACAATCCGGCAGCAAATCTTTTATTTGCGCGATACAATTTTTCAAGGACTAGATATTAAAGAAACGGTAGAGGTGACATCATTCTTTTGATGATAAGAATACTGGAAAACATGCGAAGGAAACTTTACACTGGATGAGAATATGATATGGGAGGAAATGTGCTAGAAAGAAAGAAAGACACATATATTCAAGCTATATCTTTTTTATTGATAACTGTATTCCAGCATTACATCTAAACCTAATGCTAACAATTCAGAGTCAATCAATGAATGACGCTCAAAATTTTCATGTTCAACAATTGCCTTTGCATAATCCTTAATTTCAGCATTTTGTATTATTTCTATAAACTTGTTGTACATAGATTCTACCAGGTACAAGTTTTCAGACAGCCAACTGTACATGTGATCGATACAATATTCGAAAGCGAACAACTTTTGTACGGTTTTTTCACTCATGAACATAGAGATGGTAGAATTTGAGAGGTTTGCGAGTTTTACGTCGTTTAGTTGTCGGAGTTTAACTGTTACATCATTAATGCTTATCGGCTCGCTCGAGGTTCCTGGTGTATCAGCAAAAATCTGCAGAAAGTTATGCCTCTTTCGTAGGAGATCTTTCCACGTATCCATAGAAAATTTAATTTCGTTTCCACGAGAGTCTCCTATAGCCAACTCTACGTCGCATGAACCACCGATTGGAACCCGGATGTCGAGATACTTGTAGAATGTATCCGTCAGGGGATATCTCCTCCCCAGTATGCGCACCACGCGTGTTGCTCTACGTTCCGAATGAACATTATCGCTATCACTGACAAGAGAAACAAAAAGTTATAAAGGATATTGAATTTTGACTGCACATTTTGCAATATATTGTCAAAGAACTTACTGTGTGCGCGATTTCTTTGTTAACGGTTGGTTGAACTCCTTGTTCGGAAGATTCTCTCGCGTTGCTCGAGCGATTTCAGCATTGAACCACATCGCTGATGTTTCAATACGAGGCGATAGAACGATGTTGCGAACAATGATTGAAAAAAAGCGTTTAGACATTTTTGTATAACACCCCCCACTCTTTGTCAGATGGACAAAAAAGAAAAAAATGCTGAAACAGCAAATCTCCCCTCCCACACACATTTCACTTTCTTATCCACATTTATTTTTAGCATACACATCTTTACGTAGCGCGTGATCTAATTTTGTTATACGTAATAAGACCCTCATCATCGCGGAGTCATTCTAATGAGTTGATACATCAGTGGTGTAATTCCCAAAAATATATATACGTTCTCAGGAAAACATACGAAAACAGCGATACGGAATATGAGGGGATTACGAAAATCTGCAGGCCGTGACATCATAGTAGGAGCATATCATGTGACAAAATCACGTGACCTAGAGTATAAAAATTGTGCTGCAGATTGAACTGCATTCAAACCGTTCTGTAGTGACCCCCCAGCGAAGAAGTGAGTGCAACCATTGAAGAACTCTTGGAAATGGAAAGTCGATTGTGGGACCAGGCCGATCGATTGACTTCGCAAGGAGAATACCTCGCATGGGAAGAACGATGCAACGAGTGCCTCGAGTCGGTGGAAGAACATAGTCGAGCAAAACGCCCACGATTATCGATCGGTGTTCAACAATCGTTGATCGCACGTATCGCGCGTCTCGATAGTCTAAAGTATTCGTTGTGCAGACGTTTCGTGTACGAAGGTGCCGGCCATTCAAGCATTGGACTCTTGTGGCGTGAAATAGACACTGCGTTCGAGAGCCGCGTATTAACCGGCGCTGTTTTAAATTCCCACTACATTGAACCGCGTAACTTTCTTCAGGATGCGAGAGACGTTGTGCTCAAGCATATACGGGGTGCATTGGTGAAACATAAGACACTAAAAGTGAATACCGCGTTTAATGGAGAGTTTGTAGCGGGTGATAAACGCTCAAACAAGACTATCAGCACGAAAAACTGTGAAATCTTCGGCGCGATCAATCTCGAAGAGTGGTACGAGCAACGCGTCGTCGAACCCACTCTAGCATCGCTGGAAGAATTTCAAGAACGGTATAGCAGATGGGCACTGTCGCTTATACTTAATTTAATTGTTAACGTGAATAAATATATACCGTTGCATGGTGGATGTAACATACAATTACCGCGAGAAATACAACTAAAGAGAGCTGTAATCAATATATGCTCGAACGACAATGCATGTTTCACGTAAAGATTGCCGCTCCCGCACGATTCAGAGTGGGAGATGCGGTACGTGTGAGCAAATTGAAAACAATTTTTGAAAAAGGTTACACACCTAATTAGGGTACTGAAATATTTACGATCGCCGAGGTTCAGAAAACCAATTGTTGGACGATTTTACGAACACGAGTTGCAACGTGTTGCTAACGCTGATGTGTACCTTGTGGACAAAGTGTTACGCCGGAAAGGGAATAAGGTGTACGTGAAATGGTTAGGATTGAATAGTGCACACAATTCATGGATAAATAAAGATAATGTATTGTAAAAAATTAACATTTTTTAAATTAAATATTCAGTTTTATATATATACTAGCATTATTAGTTACATTACAATGTTTTTTTTTATTTACAACTAAATGTATACGTACATCTATTAAAATCGAGGTAAAAATGATTTACAAAATACATATACTGATATATCTAAAGCGGTATTTTATAATGACCCCACGGCAATGTATCCGTTGAGTCGGGTACGATATACCGCTTATCGTCGTACGGACTCAGAGCGATTTTTGATTCCGCCATTGTGTCTACTTTGTGTAATTTTGATCTTATACATGTCTGATTTCGAATCATTTCAATTTCGTTTCGTAGGCACTGCGTGTAGTCGTCGAAAGTTATCATCCTGGAAACAACGTTACTTTTTACATCTTTCACCTTTTTCGTATCTTTTTTACCATCTACACGCAGTGCATACATTTTCGCTTTGAGTCCAACAAATTCTGTCATTATTGTCCCATTGTTTTCGTCTTTCATCAAACCGGGGACTTTTTTGTTTACAAGCGGTATATCGTAAACGTTCCCTACCGGATAATCGCTTGTATCAAATCGATTAATATCACGTTTTATAGTATCATAAATATTCTCACACTCGATGTGGTACATTAAACTATCCGTATCGGTATACATAACTTTACATTTATCGCCATGTGTGGGTAACATGTAATCGTGATGGAATTCATACAAACAAACCTTAGATATATCTAGTATACACATACCCACATAGATCGGTTTGTTGAACTTCACCGCAAGCTTTCGCAGTTCGATGGCGACTAAGTTTTCCGAAAACACGCTACGGCTGTGGAAATTTGGTTTTGCGATCATTGCCTCCGTACTATATCTCCCTTCCCATTTTGTTACTAATTTTACATCGACGTGATTTGCGTATATTCTCCATAGTTTTGCCAAATACCGCATTGTTCATCAATTTATACAAATTCTTTTCAAAATCGTTTGTAGCGAGAGTTCGAAACTTTGTATTTAATTCGATGTAGTCGCGGAGCCAGGGTGATTGTGCGAATTGGAGGACGCGGTGTATCTTTGTAATACGAATACCATGTCGCGTGCATTGCTGCAGGTTACGATAGTGGATAACGTAGCGCTGCTTATCGTATAGAGTTGCGAGCAGCTTGTCCTCTCTTTTGCCAGGTGGTTTGGCACGTGTGGGACAGAACCGCAGGTCCGCGTGAATGTCGTGCAAGCGTTGCGGATATTCTAGATCAACCTCTAGAATATAACCCGTAGGCGAATCGGCAGCAATCGAAGACACGTCAAAGTTTGCAACGTTGTCGACCCATCGAAATTCTGCATATGGCAATGGTTGACACATTGCCCATCCATACAGATTTTTCACATCAAAGTACATCAAGTACGACGACGCTTTCGATGGATCGTACGACTGCATGTACTTATTATTGGCTATCGCGTATCTACCTGAACATTGGCTTAATCCGCCGCATATACCGCGTTCGATAAACAGGACCATGTCGATATCTGTTAGTAATTCGAAATTAACTTTTGTATGCTTCAGCATAGCATCCCACGTAAAACCGGGCAGAGTGTAATAATACGCGGGATCGAGTCCGTAACTTGTTATACAGCTTTCATGAAAATTTTCAAAAATATCAGCCAACAGCAAGACATCTGTTTTCAAATACAAATCGCTATACTCGCCCAGCGTTTGAATGGAAAACCGTATCCACACGTTCTCGGCGTGCGCGTACTCGCTCTCCGATACTGTATCATCCGTCAAGGAACTGTAAAATGATTCGCGCGATGGCAAACATGATTGTTCCAACTTTTCGGCACAGTCAATGTACTCGTACGGAAAAACACCCTTTCGCGTCAATAATTCGAAATCTTCGGTAAACAAATATTGAAACTCGGTTCGTAAAATTCTAAATTTGCTTTTATCTAAGAAAGACGCTAATTTATCGAGACTGGTACTCAAGAATTTGTATGAATCGATGAATCTCAATTTTATACAATTTCGCGACGGTCCATTTGGATCTTCGACACTTTTTGTGAATGAGATGTATTTTTCTTTTGTTAGGAGCAATACACTGACGGCACCCTCGAAGGCTCTAGCTATTTCTTCGATAATAAAATGCGAATCGTAACCGGACAAATTATAAAAGACTATAGGAATGCAAAAAGAGTTTTTATAATTTAGATTACAATTGGAATGCGCGGGACCTCTGTACCGACCGGTTAGATGGCAATGATCGCGAACCCTCGTATCGTTTTCTCCAAACGGTTTTTCGCAAATGTGACAATGCGTCGCGTTGCGAAATGTCTCCTACTGTTCGCTCGTTAAATCATCCATTTGTATGTTATTTGATCAAATTGATTTAACAAAATGTGCCAAATTCTTTAATTCTTCGACGAACCAGGAAACACAATTCGCATCACGACGACATTGGTATACCGACAAGGACGACTCGTACGCGCATTGAACATAATATGCAATACTAAATACTTTATGATGCTGGTACGTGGATCTTGGTGCTTCTCGATCAGTTTTCTCCAGAATGCACTCGAGGTCGGCGTACACCACAAATGGATGTCACTCTTTCCGGATGTAGTAGTCGAAGCTAAGCCACTTGCTTTCATCATCTGGTAATACGATTGCGCATTCGTTCATCTTCTCGCAATCTACGGTGTGAGCTTCTAGCTTCTCACTCGAACTAAAGTAGTGCAAGCATCTGCAATAAAAAGACGTAAATTTTTTTTCAAACATAACATATTTAAAAAATAAAAAATAATTGTTATTATTATATACATACCTATCGCAAAAGTATTTTCGATGATTCTTTTTACTCAATTGTGAGCTCACGAGGCGAGACAAGTTTTTGATCTACGCGAAATGTCCAACGCCGTTTGCTCCTTCTAAATACAGCAAATTGACGTGTCTCTCCATCTTCCGTGTGGCGAGCCGTATCGGCAGAACCTTCTTCTCTTCAGTGGTGTAGACGTTGATGGAGATGTTGTTGACGTGTTCAAACTTTTTAATTTGGTTCAATTTCATTGGAAATTCGATATCCTGCATATTCAACACTATTGAATAATGAGGATATACCGGTGCCCGACATGCGTTCCTTTCGGCTGGATGCAGAGCGGCCACGCGAAACATGCATTGTCGTTCGAGCATATATTGATTACAGCTCTCTTTAGTTGTATTTCTCGCGGTAATTGTATGTTACATCCACCATGCAGCGGTATATATTTATTCACGTTAACAATTAAATTGAGTATAAGCGACAGTGCCCATCTGCTATACCGTTCTTGAAATTCTTCCATCGATGCTAGAGTGGGTTCGACGACGCGTTGCTCGTACCACTCTTCGAGATTGATCGCGCCGAAGATTTCACAGTTTTTCGTGCTGATAGTCTTGTTTGAGCGTTTATCACCCGCTACAAACTCTCCATTAAACGCGGTATTCACTTTCAGTGTCTTATGTTTCACCAATGCACCCCGTATATGCTCGAGCACAACGTCTCTCGCATCCCGAAGAAAGTTACGCTGTTTGATGTAGTGGGAATTTAAAACAGCGCCGGTTAATACGCGGCTCTCGAACGCAGTGTCTATTTCACGCCACAATTCGTTACATGTACCATTTGCGTTTTTCTTTTTTACCGATCTCTGATAACGATAATAATACTTACCAAACGTCGAACAAATGATGTTTTTCTTCTTCTTTTTTACCGATCTCTGATAATTACCTATGATAATTACCTCAGCTTTTCTAATCTTACGTGTTGCACGGGTAAAAGGGCCTGAGTGCGAGGAAGAAAATAATTGGGCGCGAGAAAGAGAGGGAACCCGCGGGGCCTGAAAAAACACCACCACTCCTTCGCGCGAAGAGGACAGTTTCCCCACCCTTACCCGGTTATATCGTTACATGTAAAATTTGCGTTTTTCTTTTTTACCGATCGCTGTTAATTACCGACCGGTGGTGTCCCCCTCTACCTTAACGATCGTAGGTAATAATTGCATCCTACCTTACCGACTGTAGGTAATACTTACACCCCCCACAACCACCACTCGTGCACCTCCCCCCGCTCGCCCCTCGCCCTCGATTCTCCCCTCGGAGCTCCTGAGGTAGAACCGGCCTCTCTTTATTACTTATGAGGGACTGCGCCCGTCCGCAATGGCTGCCCACTAAATTCCCACACCCGCCTGAGCTACGTGGGAAGCGCCTGGTACACGCGAGTACTCGCAGGATACTTCCCAACATACATGCATCCCGGGGGGAGGGTGTTAGCTTCGCCTACTACCTACTCTATAAGACCCCGGGCTGAGGGACCCGCTCGGTGTCCCCATCTCTGGGGCCGTCGGAACGGGCTTCCCGAGCTTCCACTCGGTCTACCCACAACCCCCGGCGTCTTCGTATCCGTACTGGTTCAGGAAACTAAGAGCTCCCTGAATACCAGGACAAGAAGACGCCGACATCAGCAGGGGAGGATCGTCGGAGACGTGATCTGGCACGCCCTGACCCTCCCCACCCCACCCCCTATGCTCCCCCACAATACCCGGTGGTCTAAGTGGGGATAGGTCGAACAGGTTGGCCCGTCACAGGGGGAATTATAGCCCCTCGTGGGGCCAGCGTCAGCTCACACCCCGTGCCACCACATTAGCCGTCTCCGTGCGAGGCACATAACGTCGCGGGGGCGCCCCTCGCGGCCCCCCACCATTGATATCCCTACGCAGGGGCGTACGCCGGTGCGGGTGACGTCACCCACCCACTACGACTCTTAGGGCACGGCGCGGCGCGGCCCATGCCGGACACTTCTCGAGTGTATGCCACGCCGTGTCCACCTCCTCGCCGCAGTGGTGATACTGCGGTGTCGGCTCCCGCCTCATCCGGTGCAGGTACTCTCCAAAGCATCCATGCCCGGAGAGCACCTGCATGAGGCGAAAGATAAACCTTTCCCGCATCCTGCACCATGTATCAAATATGGGCAGGATGGCCCGGACAATTGGACGTCCCGATGGAGCAAGCTCTTGCTTCCACCGCGCCAGCGTGTCTCTGCGGGTTTAGCTCTTCTGGCACTCGACCTCACGTACCTCCCCCGCCGCGAGTTCCACCCCCGGAGGGTGGCGGGCGGAGCAGGCGATCGTGAACATCGCCGCCCGCTCCACCGGTGCCAGATGGAAAGGGCGAAATCACGGCAAGGAGGCCCGCCGCCCTGGCAGAGATAATACGGTATCCCTGTATGGCCCGCACGGCGAGCGATACCACACGCAGGCCCCATAAAGGGCTATCGACCGCACCACCTCCGCATATAAGTGGCGAACCCTCAACTCTGACTCCCCGATATTGTCAAAGTGCTCTTTGAAGCGCCAGCGGCCGTCGACGATCAGGCTCAGGTACTTCATGGTGGGCCTAATGTCGACAAAGGTATCCAGGACGCGAATCCGGAGGTCCCAATCGCAGGGCGGCCGCCGCGATCGAGACAATCCGTAAAGTCAGATTGCCTCGGTCTTCGCAGCACCCACAGTCGGTTTGGAGAATGGCGGCCAGGTTTACATTGGGTGGATGTCTTGTAGGGTTCAGACTACCACGCAGTGACCCGGTGTTACAAGTGCCAAATGTTTGGCCATATGGCGAAGTTTTGCAAATCGGAGGAGGAAGTTTGCGGTCACTGTGCCCAAAAGGGACATACCATTATATCCTGCATGGATGTGAAAAAGACCTCGGTCTGCTCAAATTGCATGCGCAGGAATATGAAGCACGACCACCGATCTCAAGACAAAAAAAAAACTGCCCGCCTCACAAGGCGGCGCTTGAAAGTCTCCTTCAAAGAACGGATTATGGAGGATCGTTCCACGGAACGCACCCATCTGAGCAGCATTCGGATCGTGCAGCATAATATGCAGCGAGCGCATGTCGTTCTTGATGAGGTGAAAGAGCTGATGCATTCGCGTAAGATCGATGTACTGCTCGTACAGGAACCCTACTGCCACCAAGGGACAGTGTCCGGAATGGGCCTGGCGGCAAAAGTAGTCACAGGTGGCAACTCGGTGATGGCAGCAATCGTTGTCAAACATCCAGGGGTGTCTGTGGTCAAAATCTCGCAGCTGCGTGACACGCATCTTTCGTGTATTTCCATCAGTGGAGCTTTCGGCAGCTTCTACCTGGTCAGCCAGTACTTTCAATACTCAGAAGAGATTGATCGTAGTTTGGCACTTCTGGAGAAGATACTCAATGACCTTAACCATAGGCGAGTCGTTGGTAGACGTCAATGCCAAATCCCCCGTGTAGGGTGGCTTTCGATCGGACACGCGGGGCGAGAAACTCGAAGAGTTCATTGCCAACACGGCTTAGCCATCTTGAACGAGGCTGGTAGTATCCTTACGTACTCCAGCCCTAGCGGGGAATCTTGGATCAATGTCACCCTCGTGACCCCCGACATGCTGAATATTGTGTGCAACTGGCAGGTCCACAAAGACTGGATGTCCAGTGACCATAGAGTCATCGAATTTGTCTTACAATTCACGGACGTATCGAAGTACCCGGGGTTACAGCCGAGGTATCGTCAGTCGCATGCGAACTGGCCCCGCTTCAACAGAGCGCTGCTTGGGTGCGTATGGCATCTCCCCCACGGTACTGAGGATCGAGGGGCTATCGAACACCTAGCACAAGAGGTCGAGAAATCGATCCTTGATGCGTGCGTTGCGTCCATGCGTCCCAAGCACTGGCACTCAAAGTCAGTCCTTCGGTGGACATCTGAATTAACTAGAAGGAAGATGAACGTGTATCGTATGAGACGTGCTTTCCAGAGGTCCAGTGAAAAAGAGACCCAGGAAGAAGAGCGGCAAAGCATTCCGATTACCAAAGTATGCGGATTGCCTATTCCGTTGCAATGCGCGCTGCAAAGTTTCAAATTTGGAAAAACTTTGTTACCGAGCAGGGGAACGAAATGCCGTGGGGTCTTGTTTACAAGATCGCCACCAAGAAATTATGTGTTGAGGCTGCGGTCTCTAACATTCGAACGCCGGAAGGCTACACACTGGACTGGAACTCCACTGCCTCGCAGCTCCTTGCAGCGTTAATCCCGAACGACTCGTCTGAGGAGGACACCCCGGAGCAGGCAAATATCAGACGCGAGTCCGTCACTCCTCCTTCGACGGAGGACTGCCCTGTCTTCACTAGAAGGGAGGTTGGAGACGCGATCTCGAGCCTAAAGCGAGGCAAGTGTCCTGGGCCGGGCCGGGTGGAGGTTGAGGTAGTTAAACGCGCTTATGGTTCCATCCGTAGCGGTCTACTTCGCCTCTACAACGGGTGTCTGTACCAAGGAGTCTTCCCCGTTAACTGGAAGATTCATACGGACTATCCTAAAAGAAACCGACAAGCCGGAAACGGAGGTCAAATCGTATAGGCCAATATGCCTATTTTCAATCTTGGGGAAGGTCCTTGAAAAGCTTATAATCCTAAGATTGAAAGATGTGTTCCTAAATTCGACATACTGCTCCGAAAGACAGTTTAGTTTCCGTCCTGGCAGATCGATGGAAGTCGCGTTGGTCCTGCTGAGAGAGTTGGTCGCCGCCTGTGAGGAAAAGTATGTCTTGGGTCTCAGCTTCGACATCTCCGGAGCTTTCGATAATGTTTGGTGGCAAAGAATACTCGAAAAGCTGAAACGCTGGGGATGCCCTCAAAATCTTTACAACCTGATGGTGGATTACCTTCCAAACATGGCATTGTGCGGAAGAACGTCACCAAGGGTTGCCTACAAGGATCCATTCTCGGTCCGAGTCGTTGAAACTTAGTCTTCGACGAGCTCCTTCAAACTCTTATGAACATCAGGTTCTGCGAACCCATAGTCTATGCGGACGACCTTCTCGTTATTGTCTCTGGCAATGCGAGATTGGATTTGCAGCGTAAAGGGCAGATTGTCGCCGATACTATTTCCACTTTGTTCGCCAAAGAGAAATTAGAACTTTCGGCGGCAAAGACCGAAATGGTGCTCTTGAAAGGTTCTCTGGATAGAGCAAGACCCCCCGTGGTAAAGATTGGAGAGAGGAGTGTGGCTCACAAGACGACCATAAGGTATCTTGGAGTTCATATCGACTCTGGAATGAAGATTAATTCTCATGCTAATTATCTGAGTGCCAAGACTACCCAAACGTTGTATGCGTTGGCTAGACTTGCGAAATCGAAGTAGGGAGTCGGACATAGAGCCATGAATGTCATGTACAAAGGGGTCTATGTTCCCATCGTAACTAACGGTGCTGCGGGCTGGGCGGACCTTATCGGTGTCGCGGGTGGATCTACTCTGGCAAAATCACAGAGAAGGGTCTTTCTTGGCGTCACCAAGATCGCTGTGATCGCCGGAACGATACCGGTGGACTTGGTGATAGCGGATAGTGCGTTTGCTTACATGGCGCGACGACAAAAATCGATCTCTTTAGGAGTATGTCTGATTAGTCACGAAGACTTTGTCTCGGGACGAGTATCCCTATCCGAAGCGCGAGCTAGGGTCTGGGAGAAACTCCTTCGAATTTGGCAGATGAGATGGTCGTCATCGACAAAGAGGAGGGTAACCCTCCAATACTTTCCAGATGTTTCGGACCGTCTAAAGGCGAGATGGATGGTCTTAGACCACTACGTAGTGCAGTTCCTTAGTGGACATGGAGATTTCCGTGTGAAGCTAAGACAATTTGCTCTGGCGCAAGACGAGAATTGTACTTGTGGTGGGGTGGAAACATCACACCACGTACTCTTCGACTATCCCAGGTATCACGATGCGCTCGAACTCCTGAAACGAGCGGCAGAGGATCTCGGTCTACAATGGCCGGTGTCCGAAGCTCAGCTCGTTTCGAACGAACACCTTTTCCAAAAGTTTCATAAATACGCGCGGACGGTATTTGTAATCAAAGAACATCGAACGCACCAGAATACGCAAGAATAGGTTTGATATCTTTCCCCTTACCTCTCGTAAGATCGACAAAGTATGACACGATCTATGGATACGCACTATTTCGAACGACATCAAACTGGGTTTACAGGCTTCGGCCGTAGACTCCCTCGGCTGAAGCAAGCCCCATCCGTTCGTTCATAGAATGAGTTGGACTCGAGGTGGCAGTTGGAATCACCGTTGTTGTCCTCCGAAGGCGACGACGGCATAGAAACTAGATGCCCGAACATCAGGCACGTTAGTGTACCGAGGCGAGGGCAGCTGCTCTGTACCTGGAATATAGAGCGGCTAGGATGTCTTTCCAGCGTGAGATAGCCGCTGCCGCTGCCAAGGCCTGGGATGAGCTCCTGTGTACTCTTGATAGGGACCCGTGGGGGCGCCTGTACAAGGCGGTGCTGGGTAAGCTCCGCCAGTGGGCGCCCCCCGTGACGGAGAAGTTGGACTCTGAGTTCCTGGGGCGAGTTACAGCTGCACTTTTCCCCCCCAGTGGGGGAAGTGGTGGTAGACACTCGCCACGTCAGGTCCGATTTAACTGGACCGACGAACTGGGGGTCACGATGCAGAAGCTATCCTGAGCTGTCTAGCGAATCCGGGAGGGGGGCAGGAAAGTTCCCGATCCCGATGGGGTTCGGGGCCGATTCTGGCCTTGGTGTTGGACGTCCTTGCCCCGGCTCTAATACAGATTCTAAACACCTGTCTGAGCCGGGGGACCTTCTCCAGGAAATGGAAGAGAGCAGGGTTGGTCCTCCTCCGAAAGGATGGAAGGCCCCCCGACTCCCCCTCCGCGTACCGGCTCTTATGTCTCCTCGATGAGGCGGCAAAAATCTTTGAGAAGATCCTTGCGGACCGCCTCGTTGAGCATCTGTCCCGTGATGGTCCCTCACTGAACGACAGCCAGTAAGGCTTTCGGGGAGGACGCTCGTCGGTCGATGCAATCGGCCGTCTTGCCTCCCTCCGGGCCGCGGCCGTCGTCCGGGGTCGGGTTTTGTTAGCGGTGAGTCTTGACATCACCAACGCCTT